ATATGATATTCCTCCGGTCCTAAATATAAAACCCATTTTACACTACAAAATGGGTTTTATATTTAAGATCAGAGGGAGTATTGTATAATATCTTAAATGGATAATTAATCCCCAGCTCCTTATAGTTTTAACTAATTTTGAATCAGATCCTTACAGTTTTTTTTCTTTTTATTAGGTCCTTATACTTTTACCTGTTTTTAATTAGGTCCTTATATTTATTTTTCTTTTTATCAAGTCCTTATAAGTTCACCTTATTTTAAATTAAGTCCCTGAATTTTTTATTCTTTATTTTATAAATTCTAATAGTACTATTATATAAACATAAAATAGTATATATTATTTAATATTAGTTTATAAACAATAATATTCTAAAGATATTGAATTATTATAATGATTTTAATTTTTTCAGAAAAAAATTAATTGTTCTAAAAAAATTTCCTGAATTAATTAATTCTATTACTTTTTTATTACATAATTATTAATTTAATTTAATTATTAATATTTTATATTTCATTATTAATCTATTTAATTAAGCTTATATTTAATTAATAAATAAAAATTAAAACTACATGGACCTGATTAAAAATTTAGTGAAATTATAAGGACTTAATTAAAAGAAAAATAAATACAAGGACCTAATTAAAAAAAGATAAAAGTATAAGGACTGGATAAAAAGAAAAAAAACTATAGGGACCTGATTCAAAATTCGTTGAAACTATAAGGACTTACGGATTAATTAATCCTATCTTAAATATAAGAGCAAGTTACGTTGGCTTTCAATTTAAGATCCATCCAATTTGTCTTTTCTTAATTAATAATTTTTTTAAATTAAAGTATTAGATTTTAAAGCAAATAATTTGAAGGGACACTTTCAATATCTAATTTTTTAAATTTCATTAAGTTGGCTATACAGCTCCTATAAAGTATTAGGTTTTAGATACTGCTTTAATTTTTTCCCCCCTCGTGAATCTTTTTACAAAACTAATGTTTTATTAATTTCTCATTTTTCAAATTCTATAATGCCTCTCTCCTAATTGTATAATTTTCTTCACTTTATATAATTTTTTTTATTAGAAAAAAATACAGAGATAGATAAGTTCCGGCCGCGTCACAAGATGAAGAAACCCTAGCGCAGCATGCTCATGGCCTCGTTTTGATAGATCAGATAGGATGAATAATAAATGAGTCAATTATGGTACAAAAGATATCTCTGTGTTTGTTCTCACCAAATATTCACATCTCCGGAGTCACAATTAGCGGAATTACATGAATATTATTTCCAACATTTTCCATTTTTGAAGTTGATCTATCGTCATAATTTTGTCCACCAATTGTCTTCTCCCTTTTCATAGGTCAGGTATGAAATAACGGTGTGTTGGTTTATTTGGGAAGGAAAAAAAAAGAAGTGACATCTCATTTACTTCTAACAACCCCCCAAAAAAAGGAAAAATTGTTTTTGCTGTATTATTGTTTGTGTTGTTTCATTTCGGCATAAAGTGTAAATTTATTTTTTAAATTTTCGCTCAGGATCATTGGCCACTCAAAGTTTTAATCATAGAAATATTACTCTATATCATTAAGAAATTAACATTAGTAATTAAAATAGTGATATTGGGTCGTTAATAGTTTTAATGGTAAAGGCTAATGATGTAGCAAATTTACATAAAAAAATATTTAATTACCTAGTACTCCTAAATAAAAACTTTCAAAACAAATTTGTAGTATAATCCGTTTATTTTTAATCTTTCCATTTTATCTAAGTGAATAGTAATCCTTCCTGTGTTTTTTTTGGGAAAAATTGCAATGAGGTCCCATCCAAGGGAATTAAATACAAAAAAAATCTTAAAATCATGAAAGTATTCTGAAATTTCAAGTAACTTTATTATAATAAATTTTATTTGTTTAATTATCAAATTACCCTTCTTCTTTTTTGGAAGTTTGTATTGACAACTAAAAGAGTAATGGTTGACAACTTAGAATGCAAGGATGGACAACTATCGCGGCAGGTATTGACAATACATTTTCTCAGCACATCACAAAATCTCTCAAGGGAATTAAATACAAAAAATCCCTTAAAATAATGAAATTATTCTAAAGTCCTAAAGGATTTTATTACGATAAATTTTATTTGTTTAATTACTAAATTGTCCTTTTTTTAAGTTTGTATTGATAACTGAAAGAACGGTGATTGACAACTTAGGGTGCAAGGATTGACAACTATCGCGGCAGGTATTAAGAACTAATGTATTAAATTTTGTGATATACTAAGAAAATGTGTTGTCAATACTTGCTGCGATAGTTGTCAATCCTTACACCCTAAATTGTCAACTATTGTTTTTTTTAGTTGTCAATACAAACTTAAAAAAAAATAATCTGGTAATTAAACAAATAAAATTTATTATAATAAGGTGTCTTGGGATTTCAGAATAATTTCATGATTTTAAGGGATTTTTTTATATTTAATTTCTTTGAGTGGGACTAATTGTAATTTTTTTTTTTTCCATTTTTACCAACCTTCCCGCGTCGCTGTACAAACGTGCTGATTTAGTCGCATTAATAATTCCCAATTGACGCCCAATTTCCCATTCAAATCTTCATACAATCATGTACACACCTTTTTTATTTTTTAAAATAAGTGCTGCAACGCATATACGACTTTTTTTTTTTTTTGACCAGCCTGCAACGCATATACGACTGCAGTTCGTCAATTTAAAAATGTTTATTACATTTAAATCATGTTGATTAGGTTTTTTTTATAATTAGGCACGGATCTCCTTCTATTGAATATAATATTGTTCAACGTATTATGAGACACTAAATATGACACCTTTCCCGTATGAATTTAAACCTTCATTCTACATGTTGCGAGAAATTAATCCCTTTGCTAGACTCAACTTCAAATGGTAAATTATGTTAATTATGGATGACTCCTATGAGTATAAGTTCATAGCTCAGCTCAACTACTATTTAAACACTTTTGCATGGAGTATTCTTTTTATATACCACTCCAATTCTTATTATAAATTTATAAGTTATTTATAGGAAAAAATTTTAATCATAAATATAAGTCAGTTATAGGGTATTACTTTTTAATTTTACTTTTATTTAATTTTTTTTACAAAAAGGAGAAAGGGAAGAGAGATGTGAGAATAATTTGTAAATGGCGCAAGAGAAAAAAAGTTAATAAAGATAAATTTTAAAAAAATTATCAATTTAATGGATTTATTGATATGTGAGAATGAATTACTACAAGTGACTCATAATAATCCTAGGGGCTGGTCAGCTATTTTGGAAGGGAGGGAATTACTTAGACATAGGGCCTGTTTGGGTGCTCCAAAACCGTGGTTTCAGAAGCACTTTTCCGCAAAACGAGGTAACCTCCTCCACATATTTACTTTGTAATCCGTAAAAACACTTCTGAAACCATGGTTTGATTTCTATCCAAACACTCCCATAGTCTGTGTTGGAAGATACGAGGGGGTAAAGTTTTCTCTAATAGGTGGATTCCCTATATTGAAGGTAATTGTTTGAGGAGTAGGGTATTGTCTGAGGACACGGCAAGTTTGGTTGTTAAAGATTTGATCATAGATAAAGTGGTGACAGAAATAGATCGTCATGAACTTTATAGTAAAGTGAAGAATAAGGAAGTTAAAGGTTGTGAATGGGATAGTAGAGATATTTTGTATGAGGGTGTGATGTTTTGGAACTCTTTGCATGGTTGTTCATTATCCTTCATTGCTCGTGCGGGGAATGAAGCTGCTGATCATATTGCAACTGTTGTTTTGAGAAGAATGGTTTCATCAGAATGTCTAACTCAACCAGCATCTTCTCTGTTGCTAGTTTTGCAAAGAGTTTAACAATTTCTGGCAAGAAAGGGACCGCTGCAAGATGATTAGTTGTTTTCGATTGTACCTTTTCAATTGAAATTGGCTTTGTTTGTTATGCTATTTCACAGGTATTACAGGATATTGGTGATTGTAGCTTTCCCTTTGTTTTTGAAATAAAATGAAGTATTATTCAGCTCAAAACTTAGGAAATGAAATTTGACTAATCAGGGGTGTTTTCATTTTCCAAAAAATAAACAAGCTCCAATTAATTTACCTCGAAAGTAAATTTTCACATGAAGATTAAAATATTATAATTATATTGAAATGTTCATTATTGTTTCAATTATTTCAGCCTTGATTAAAAAATATATTAAATAATGATAGGCAGAGCCTAAATACTTACTTAAAAAATAACTAACATATTTCATTAAAAAAATAATATAATGACATTTTAATAAATTATAATTAGATTTTGCTCTCAATTTATGCATATAATTTCAAATTTCCAGTTATTGGACTCAAGTTAGTGAGAACATGATTGCGCGCCTTGCCACGTAATCATGATGCGTTTCTTTAATTTAAACACGTGTTTCATTTGTTATAATTAATTTTAACTAATTATTTATTATATAAAAATTAATTTAATTTTTTTTTTAACAATAGCGCCATTTAATTATTTAAATTTATTATAAAAACTAGATGGAATAAGACAAGGTCAGCCGAACATAGAAAACCGTGTTCTTATGCTCATTTTTTTTGGGTCGAAAAATAGTATCATGCTTAATTAGAAATAACTCTTCTAATCCTGAAAACTCAGACAGGCTAAGCTACTTCTTAAGAAATTTAATTTTTTTAGATAAAACATAAAAATTAAATCTTTGTAGATTTGATATAAAAATAACATGACTTATAAAAATGAATTTTTCTTTCTATCCGTACTGAATTTATTTCTTCAATACATACGAGTAATTTTCCCTATTATTATTGGTACTACTGGCTCCATTTGTTTATAAGAACTTATGAATACAATACTTTTCACAAAATTTATTAAAATTTACATGACTTTTTGGCCCCAAAAAAAAAAAAAAACTCACACGACTCATTTTCAGAGGGATCATTGTTTCTTCCACGTTTAACTTAAATAGTAACTTTAATTTTGGTTGAAGGCAATTCTAAGAAATCATAAAAATTTGGATGGAATGGAAGAGAGTATTATTCTGAATATTATTGAACTCCACAGACAGAAGTGGCATATCACTTCACATCTTAAATGGTAACGAAATTCAAGCAGATGAAAGCCAAAGAGACGAGCGATAGGATTAATGGTGGTGATGTTGAGGATGATGTTCATGGTTTCCAGAGGATAGTGGTCTCTGCGACGAGGGAGGTGACAACGTAAGGATCCATGTTAGAAGCTGGCCTTCTGTCCTCAAAATATCCTTTCCCTTCTTTCTCTGTGTCTCTCCCTACTCTCACTGATGCTCCTCTGTTCGCCACCCCCTGTTCATGAATAGTACATCACATTTCTCAGATTCTACACAGTTCATAAGTAATACGACTCATTTTGTCAGATTCCATATATGCTAATCAATCTTGGAAACAATTGGACGTACCCAAGAGAATGTGTCAATGTCTGCAGTTTCATGTTTCCCTGTGAGACGCCTCTCGTTGCCTTCCCCGTAAGCACTTATGTGCTCTTTGTGCCTTAAACCAAGCTTTTCAATGGCTTTCTTTATCACCTCGTAGCCTCCCTCAGTTCTCATCGACTTTGTGCTGTCATTATCATCCATCCATTCTTATCCCAACCCAGACATTCTTAAATTCCAAAACAAGTCTCAATTGATTATGACAGTACCTGTAGTTGGTGTGAGCCCCAGCTCCATTCCAGTCTCCTTGAACAGGCTTGGGATCAAACGAAACCACAACCCCAGCAATCTCTGCGATCCTCTGCCAACAAACCAACACATCCTCATCAATATTATATCTTAATCATATGTAAGAGAGCTAACGAGATTGGCTTTAAAATTTACCTCCAGAATGTAGCGAGCAACCCAGAGCTCGTCTCCGGCAGAGATGCCGACGGCAGGACCCACTTGGAATTCCCACTATATAAGCACAAAGGAACATTATATCTTAAACAAGATGAGATTTTAATGGGGTAATAAAGATAAAGACAGAATCTTTGCGATGATGTTTACCTGTCCAGGCATCACTTCGCCATTGATGCCACTGATATTAATGCCAGCATAAAGACAGGCTTTGTAGTGTGAGTTTACTATGTCACGCCCATAAGCTTTATCGGCACCTACCCCACAGTAGTATGGGCCCTGTTCAAATGTCAACTCGAGTTTTACTCATACAAGCCACCATTCATGCAGAAACCCGCCAGCCAAGTTTGACCATTGGAAAAACCTTTGTTTCAATTTCAGCAAAACAGTTTCTATGCATTGTATCTCATCTTGCTTAATTCTGATTGACTTAAAAGAGAAGCGTTCAGTGCGACCAACTTAGAAAGCTACATGTTACCAGTGGAAATGCTTTTAACAGAATTTATGAGCCTTAATTTAATTTTGGCATGCCGAGAGTTGCAGACCTTGTGAAAAATATATATATATATATATATATTTATATCATTTTTGCTTTCTCGAAGAAGATAATCAAATGACATTTGGCCAAAAAACAAAAAAACAAAAAAAGATAATCAAATGGCCACTTAATTGCGTAACCAGTGGGACAGCAGTAGAAATGTCCAAAACCTAATAAGTTTTGAACAGAAAAAGCTACATATTACCATTAGAAATGTTTTTAATAGAATTGATGGGCCTTAATCTGATTATGTGAAAAAAATTGTTTTGATTTTCCCGAAGAAGATAATTAAATGGCCCCTCAATTGCGTAACCAGTGGGACAGCAATAGAAACGTCCAAAACCCAGGTTTTGAACAGCAGAAGACAATTCACTAATTGGTTGGGAGGTGGATTCAATGTTTCTTGCAAGACCTTCTTTTTTTTTTGACACGCTTCTTGTAAGACCTTCTATTCATATAACCAATAATAGAACTGTTTGAAGCTTTTGCGGATGACATATGTACAAGGCAAGAAAAATTAAATAACTGAAAAAAGCCACAAATATACACTAACAGACATGGAAAAGTTTTTGCACCTGTGGTCCAGGATAGCCACCAAGTGGCCAACCAAGGGGCCAATTTGTATCCTTCTGCAACAGGGTATACTCCTGCTCTATGCCATACCTTTTTGCATACGCATTTCAGTATATTTGAAGGCCTAAAATGTGGAGTTGCATAGAGATTATTCATAAAATATTCAAATTCAGAATATCTATATGTACCATGGTTCCTCTGCAGCAACTTTAGGGTGGCTGAAGGTTTTGGCAGCATTATGCCTCTTATTGGTTGGAATGGGCTCTCCAGCTGGAGTGTAAGCATCACACATCACCTAATAAATAGATTTTTACCGGAAGTGAGTATACACCCAAAATTATGGAAGATAACTCTGAGAGAATGGCTTCTCTAATCATAAACTAGTTATATCTTCAAAGTTAAGACAAGCTTACAAGAATGTTTTTGCCTCTCCTGAATGGATCCCTGAAGATTGCTTGTGGACTTTGAGACAATACATCAAACAGAAAGGGGACGATAGTCATTAGTTTCTGTAGGAGTAATAAGGAAGCACTGATAGAACAGCATGAGGATGAGTATATGAACATTACTATAAGATGACTTCACTGTCTTCTCCAGGAGCTTGCCCTGTGCTTGACCCATCGTAGTTCCACTTGGGAAGTTTTGCAGGGTCAGTCACTGGGCTAGAAATAGTCTGTAAAGTCCAGATTTTAAAAAGAGGTAAGTTCAAGTGGTTTTGGTAGTGGTTCACACAGTATTAATCATCCATAGAAGAGAAGGGAAGGGAAAAAAAAAAAGCGCATTTACCCTGGCTTTACTTCTGAGGTCCATGCCAGATCCACCGATCCTGTTTGTTCATATATAATAAAGGATCAATTTTTATGTGTCAACTCAGTTAACAGAGTAACCCCAGAACATGGTTTTAACAATCAGACGTGGTCTAGTACAATTTTATTAGCCTGATTGACTAAAAGAACCAATTGGACTAACAGGAGGATTTAGAAATGCTGAATACGAGGATATCCTCGAATCAGAATAAAAACCTTACCCAAGGCTAACATATTCATCACAGTCTTGATGAACAGACCCAAAACAGAAACAAAAACAAAAACAAAAACAGAGAAGAGTCCTGTTGTCCCTAGTTTTGAGTATGTTCAGGAAATATGTTAAAAACAGATATTCCTGAGAAGAAAACTTACCATATGTACTCTGCGATCACCTTCTCGGTTGTATCAGAGAGGTTGAGGTTGACAAGATCTGAGAGCAGAGACATTATGAGTTGCTAAGAAGGAAGGGCTAATCAGTAAGATATGAGCAGAGGATGGAGGCTAATGGTCTTGATAGGCTATGGCCTCTCTCGCTTGGTATGAGGATCCTTTTATAGAATAGTCATAGGTGTGAAGACTGCATTCAGACACGCAACGCAAGATTCTGAAATGAATTGAACTTGGAAAACTAAAAGAATTTGGAATCAAATATTCACTTTCAGTTATTTATTTTTTAAAGAATAAAACAACAAAAAGAAATAAACAACTTGGTACCAAAAATGACGGACTAAAGGCTGCATCATGAATGGTAGGTAATGAATGAGAAGTGGGATTGGTTGATTTCATTTCATGATATGATATTATACAATACTTTGCTGAAAGCTAAGAAAGGTAAGAGATACTTTCAAGATGAAACTTTGGTGCTCTTTTCAAATTTCAACAACCTTTTCCATGTTCCCATCGTTAGGCAACTCAGTCCAAAATAAGGGTTATTTATTCTTGAATACTTAAAGGGTATATAATTTAAAATCTGTATTATAATAATAATAATAATAATAATAATAATAATAATAATAATAATAATAATAATAATGTTGATGTATTTTGGAACTTTAGATCTGGCAGTTTTTGTACGGTGTACGTTTCTAAAATGGATCATAATAATCAATAAAATAGGAGGGCACCGAAATAAAGGAGCTTCCAAGTAGAAAATATGAGATTGGGTTCGTCCTCATAAATTCTGCCACCTTGCTCACATGAAACCCTAAAGCAGCATTGCTTATCTCAAGCTTTGATAGATCATATACGATGAATAATGAAGGTAAAAAAAAATACGATGAATAATACACGAGTCAATTATGATCACCACAAAAAGAAAAAAAATCTATGTGTTTGTTCTCCACAAATATTCACATTTTTAAATATAAATTTATTTAAATAAAATTTCAATTAAAAATTAAACCATTTGAATAATTAAACAATCCTTAATACATCTAGAAATCAATAAAATTCAACCTGATTTTTATTTAAAAAAATTTCTAAATTAATAGTATATATTATTGTGTGCCTAAATCTTATTTTTTTTAAAAAAATAAAACTTCTCATCCTTGGAAAAAAAAATGATACCTTCTATTCAAATGTTGTTAGGTCTAGAGGGTAATCTTTCTAATTGTCAAAGTTCAAACTCTTGATGTTACTCAATAAGAATCAAATTCCTAATCACTTGACTCGATGCCATTAGTCGTATATCTTATTTAATGAAGTGAAATTATAATTTGTACCCGGAGAATCTTATGATGAAAGACCAACTTAAGAAATCATAAATAACAAATGGGAGGATAAAAAAAAAATCTTCCAATACTAAAAATAAGACCTATTTTCTAATATAAATTATACTGAAGAATGAGTCACATGTTTAGGATAGAAGGAATACAGAGCTAAGGACTAAAATCTAAAATAAACTAAGCTTCAGTTTTTGGGGTTTATAAAATATATGTAAAAAAAATTATAAAATTATACTACCTCCTATCCTAATTATAAGACTCCATTTATAATTTACAAACAGAGTCTTATAAATAGGACAGGAGGTAGTATATTTTAGCTGAATGCATTTGAGCTGATAAGGGCCCCACTTGGATAAGAAGCCGCAGTCATTCAGGGGACCTATTACAAGCATAGATCCCTAACCATATATTTATTAAGTAATTAATTATCAATTAATATTAAGAAGTAAATTTAAAGGAAAGAAATGAATTAGGCATTAAAGTTTGGTGAATTAGGCAATGTAAAATTGGATTTGTGGAGTGAGTTAATGCAATTAAGATATGAAAATTAGGACACAAGATAATTATAGCTTGCTTTTGCAAGTAATACTAATTTTGTGAATGGTGGCCCACCCACAACTTCATTACATTTCAATGTCATTACCCAATTGCACAATAATCCACCGTATCAGCATCATCAATATCCAAGATATTTTATTCCTTTTCTTATATTTAGTATTTTATTAATATATGTAATTATACTAAAGCCCATGCAATTTATACAAAGTCCAAGTATTATATAAATGCCTGCTCTTTAACATGTGAGTCCTCTTTTTATTTGGCGAGTTCTGGTTGGAGACCCAAGTTACCAAATTTAATTTAAATATTAAATTAAAAAATAATTCCAACTTTGGATGCTCTCATTTTTTGAATTATTAATTAATTGATTGAATATTTAAAGTATATAAGAAGGCCTTTCACTGTTCAGGGTATTTGTCAATTTTGCATAAAGCCAAACTTTTAAAACTTATCTTTCCTATTCCAATGATAGCATCCACCACGTATGTATTCTATGTTTTGTTTTGTTTTTTTTTGAAAGCAGACTGTGCAACAATATCTGAAACCCCGAAACCAAACTTCTGAAATGTCATGTTTAAGTAACTATAGTGCTTTTCATATTATCAACTTTTCTTTCTGTCGCATTCTTTGGTTTTACAGAAAAACGGTTTTTTTTTTTTTTAAATATGTATAGGCAATCTAAACAATATCAGACACTAAATATGAACACATCTTCTAATAAATATTTAAATTTTAATTCATCACATTGTGAGGGATTAACTATTTTCACTGTACTTAATCCTGTTAGTAAAAAGGAGGTAAATAGGTTTGATAAAAGAAGTTGCAGATTGAAGGCGGAAAGCCTGAGCATTGGGTTTGTCGCTATTGCTGGCTCTCTATCGTGTTGTTGTCATTCATTTTTTTTATAAAAATATAAAGTTGTTGTTATCAATTTGGAATTGAATATCTTTGATAACAATTACTATACCTCTAGTCCTTAATATAAGATTCTGTTTGACTTTTAGTTTGATCCTAAATATAAGACCCCAATCCACTTTGTCTCTTATATTTATGTATTTTTTTTAAAAAATAATTCTTCTAATAATGGTAGTTTTAGTCAATACACTTGATTACTAAGAATATTTTAAGAAAACAACAATTATTTATTACAAATAACTAACTTAACTTATTTTCTTAATCTTCTTAAATTAGTCAACTAGCTCTTATAATTAGGATCGGAGGTAGTATTAAGTATATCTTTGATGTAGTAAAGACAAACTATTTATAAAAAATATTAATATTTTGAAATTTGGAATTAATTTTTTTAGTGCGAGTGAGTCTTAACTCTCAAAAGAGGGAAGAAAAATATAAAAGAGATTCAAACTCTCCTACTATAATAAAAGAAATATATGATAAGCATCTTTTCGGTGGACTGAAATCATGATCATAATTATAACAAGGTAACTTATTTATGGTTTGGCTTCTTAAGCTGCCCACCAGATCAACAAAGAAATCTGAAAAAACTGAATACGCCTAATTTTCCATTTTTACATGTCATAAAACTTTGCTATTAAGGTTGTTGGACCACAAACTTTGACATCCAGCCCCAATAAAACTAGGATTTGAATACTTTTCAAAATAGCAAAGAATAGCGGAAATCACACGAATTAAAGAACTAGACTTATCAAAAATACCTCTGATAACTTGCTTAAAACCTGACTGGTAAGAGTGATGCACAATGACCAGAAGATTAGTGGCTCGTTCAAAATTCCCTTCCTTGTATAGTAAGGTCATCCTTAGAGGCTGCAAAATCCTCTTGTGAAAAAAAAAAAAAAAAGCCAACTATTTTCACAGAGAGAGAGAGAGAGAGAGAGGAGTGAAAATTATTGACCATATTATCCAGTCCGCCACTGAAATCAGAAGGAGCGAAAAAATGTGCAATTTATTTGCCATGCAATCATATTCATCCAACCCATTGTTGAAATGAAGATATTCATTCAAAGTTCAAACTTGGCAGCCAAGCTCACCTATAATATAAAATATGTAATATTCCGGTACAATACATTCATAAGTGAAACAGGGTCCATAGCCTTTCCAGAAAAGCTTTTCAGTGTTGCTCTATGAATTTTCTCACCTACTTTTAAGCTCCTCTAATATCTATCTCATCCATAAACGAATAAATGTAATACTGATGCATTTACTGTTTCACCAAACGATCAAAAATTGGACGTGTTTTGGTTTTCAAGTGATCCCAGATAAATTATTCAACAGTCTTCATGTCCATGGAACGGCTTAATATTGGTAATAGAAGTATCAATGTAGCCCTCAACGTTCCTCCTTTACAACTGGCATCATACGACCTGAGCCAATCACAACACCCAAATGAGATGATGATCTCGGCGGAATAATTTTCATGAAAGTATTATACAATGGCCACAACAATATGAATTGATTCTTAAGAAATTACACAGCAGGAAGCAACTGGGCTAAACGAGTTTTCTTAAATGACCTCTAGTAGACAGGGGAAAAGCATTAGCTGAAAATAGAAATTGAAACGTACATCAGACAAGGAAACACCTGTAGGAAATACCATGTACTGAAACCCATGAAGAAGCTAAGCACCTGCGGAAAAAGCACAAAAACAAGCTAACACGAGGTAAGTAAAAAATTACCATCATAAAGATCAGACAAGGAAACACCTGTAGCTGAAAATAGAAATTGAAACGTACATCAGACAAGAAACACCTGTAGGAAATACCATGTACTGAAACCCATGAAGAAGCTAAGCACCTGCGGAAAAAGCACAAAACAAGCTAACACGAGGTAAGTAAAAAATTACCATCATAAAGATCAAATTCTCTTTAGACCTATAAAATTCACCTTTCAGCATAGGATTTCATAGACACAATACTTCCTCAATGGATAAGATCTCCTTCTAGTCCACTTAGCTGCACCTTTCCTCATATTCTTGCATGTGTTCAATTTACCCAGACAGAAGTCATTGAATCAATGATAGATTCGAGGAAATATTAGTTGCAAAGGATCATCCCTAAAGTTGACCGCATAAAGCACCCAAACATAACACGCTGCATCGTTACACTTTATCAAAACTCGCAAGGAAATATTTCCATCTATAAAATAGATGCACAACCCCACTAATACTACGGGGAAATATCTAATTTCTAAAAGTTCCTAAAGTCCTCCCTATTCCAGGATGTTTCAAAAAAAATTGAAGAACTATCATAATAAAATATGCAGGTAAAGACTCATTATTATTATTATTATTTTAAAACTACGATTTAAAGGACGTCTTCAGCAAATGTCAGTTTTCGTTATCTCTCATGCATAAAACAAGGGCGATGAAAAACTTTGAAAGCATCAAATATGAAGACACAACATGTAATGAATTGAGAGATTAAATTTGAACAAACTTCTAATACAATTCCGGGAAACATTATCTCCTCTGTTAGCAGATAAGCAATTAATAAGCAATTCGGTTGTGGCAGCATCAGCAGAAAATCCTTTATCTCTCATTATCTGAACGTATTTCTTAGACCTTGAAATCTCGTCTTTTTGCAGCAATGCTTGGACTAAGATTATAAGTGTAACCGTTAGGTGCACATCCAGTCTCTTCCATACTCCTCACTAAGTCTTCAGCTTCATCTAGTAGTCCTTCTTCACAAAGACCTTTGATCATTATGTTGTATGTCCGACAAGTAACCTGCAACCCTTTAGTAAGCAAACAAGAAAAGAGAGCCCATGCATCATTCATTTTTCCAGAGTTGCACATTCCATCAAGCAAAATATTATAGATCACAATATCAAAATCCAAAGCCATCTTCTCCATTGCCCCAAACAAAGATACTACCTCAGAAGGAAAATGGCACTTGAATAGTCCATCCAAAAATGGCACAAGTCTGGAGACTGGGAACTTGGCCATAGCTGTGCATACTAAAAAACAGTTCTTTTGCAGCTAGTGGTTT